ATACTGCCTTCCCAGTGCCCCCATGACATTATGTGTTCTAATCATAATGCCCTTTAATCCCCTTATCACTCCAACCTTCCCAAGTCCCTTTCCCTTTGGTAACTGTTAGTACATTCTTGCGTTCTGTGAGTCTGCTGTTGTTTTGTTCCTTCAGTTTTTTCTTTGTTCTCACACTCCACAGATGAGGGAAATCATCTGGTACTTGTATTTCTCTGCCTGGTTTATTTCACTGAGCATAATACCCTCTAGCTCCATCCATGTTGTTCTAAATGGTAGGATTTGTTTTCTTCTTATGGCTGAATAATATTCCATTGTGTATATATATCACATCTTCTTTATCCATTCATCTACTGATGGACACTTAGGTTGCTCCCATTTCTTGGCTATTGTAAACAGTACTGCAATAAACATAAAGTGCATATGTCTTTTTGAATCTGTGATCCTGTTTTCTTAGGGTAAATTCCTAGGAGTGGAATTCCTAGGTCAAATGCTATTTCTATTTTTAGTTTTTTGAGGAACCTCCATACTGCTTTTCACAATGGTTCAATTAATTTACATTCCCACCAGCAGTGTAAGAGGGTTCCCCAAGAAGTTATCCTTTTTAAAGTACTATGTGAGGGTCACTATTAACTAAAAAGCATAGAACAGCAATGTCCAACACAGTAGCTCTAGGCACAAATGTGTATTTATATTAAAATAAAAAATTCCGTTCCTCAGTCACACTAGGCACATGTCAAGTGCTACCAAATCTTCTCCAAGTGCAATTACAGAAGCTTTCTATCATCACAGAAAGTATGACTGAATAGCCTGGTACAGAGAACACCACTGTATTCATCACCCAGTTTTATCAAATATTAATATCTTTGCTTCTGAAGCATCTGAAGCCCCTCACTACTCTTCCCTGATCATATTCTGTAACCTTAGGCAGCCACTTTTCTGAACTGGGTACTTCATCACCATGCAGATAAACAATTACTGACCAAGGTGAAGCCCCACTGTGTACTCTTCCCCATTTTCATTCCCATACTCTCTAGATGTAGCCATCACCCTGATTGTTTTATTCTGCATGCTGTAAATCTTTTCAAAACTATAATCAGTGATGTGGATGACCATTAATAAGCATGTTCTCTCTGTGCAAGTGTGCACGAGTTTTGCTAGATAACCTTGGGACTGAAATTGCTGAGTTGTGGGGTATGCTCAGCTTCAGTTTTACTCCTAGAGCCAACACACACATTATGACCCAGCAATTCTATTTCTAGGTTTACACCCAAGGGAATGAATGCGTATGTCCACTGAAATACATGTTTGAAAATGTGCACAGCAGCTTTATCAAAAACAGTTTTAAACTGTAAAAAATCCAAATATCCTTGAACCAGAAAATGGATAAACATACTGTGGTATATTCATACAACAGAATGGCACACAGCAATGGAGAAGAACAAATTAATGACCCAGTAATATGGTAAATTTCTGCAATACTATGTTGCATGAAAGAAGCCAGTATAAAAGAGAACACACTGTAATTCAAGGAGAAGTAAAGATCCATTTTGAGAGAAGTCAAAATAGTGGTTCACTCTGGTTGGTGTGGGGTATTGACCAGGAAGAGGCATAAGGGAGTCTTCTATTATGCTAGAAATGTTCAATATATACAGGTATGCACATATGAAATAATACAGGTATATACATATGTAAAAACTCATAGGTTGTACCTTTAAAATTAGTGCACAATATTTTATACCTCAATTTTTAAGTACTTTAGAAAATCACATTGGTTTTTAATTCCTTATTAAAAGAAAGAGAAATGCTATTTAAAAATACTGAGTAAATCAGGGCATGTATTTTCTATCTGGCAGTACTTCACTAAATGTAAGAAATCAAGAAATTTATACATCTTATCCTCTTTGTACAGTGTCAAGATTCCTTAAATCTTAGTTGAAATGATGGTCACACTATTTAAGAGGCAAAAAAAAGTTTTAGTGGGATATCACAGAGAAGTAAAGATAACACAAAGCCCTACTGAAGAAAAGAAAGTGTTTGTACCCTGTGAAGAGTGAAAGTACTAGCCCTGTCCTCCCCACTGCACCCTACAGCAAGGAGACTGGAAGAGTCCCCCCTGAAAAATTGATCACCCCAAAAGACATGGCCTACAGAGAGTAGAATCCCCAAAGAAATAGACTATACAGAGCAAGTTATAGCAAATAAGTCCTGCCCACACTGAGAACTTACAATCAACTCCTTAGTGTACTACTCCTAAATATGAACACAGATCACCAGACATTTGAGGAAAGCCTCCAATATGGAGTTAGACAGGAGTCCACAAAGAAAATGAAGATGGAAGGAGGAAAAAGTCTATGTGCTGGAAGTAGGGCTGGGAATGCAGAGGGAACACACACAATGTACAAGAAGGAGAGCTAATGACTTGTCTTCCATCTCAGGAAGATAACAGTGAATATTGAAATCTGAAAAATCAAGAAAGCAGTATAAGCATGTTCTTGAGAAACATGGACAAAGCTGCAAGCATTTGTCTTTGGGGTGGGGGTATTAGGTATAGGGTAGACATGGGGTCTGCTAATCTGCATTAAATCCTAGTACTTCTATATAAGTTTTAAAACTATGTACATGTATTACTTTGACACAAAGAATAATAACAAAGAGAAAGATAAAATCAGGTTGGGAATGGAACTCAACAAAAGGACTATAGAAATATAAAACCATCAATTTCTCAGTCTTCTTCTCTTTGTCCCCTGTTCTTTCACTCATTCTACATTGAGAGAGCAACCTATTTGATGATTTCTATTACAACTAAAAAGTGGAAATGAAATGGAGAGGGAAAACGAACTCAGTGGCAACAAAAATATTTGCCAATTACTAAAGGAACCATTTTAACAGAACTTTTAAGTAGCCAATACTCATTCAGAAAAAAGCACCACTTCATAAATCAGCAGAAAAACACACCATTTCCAAGTCAGGTTCTTGCAGAAACATCTACCAGAAGGAAAAGAAGAAAGAAATGCTAAGGCTACAGTTAATCCTCAGGAGGGACATGTCTATTGTGTAATTCGGAAACTCTAACCCAAGTAGTGGTGACTTACCACTTCGTGAATGGATCTATTGAAGCCATCATCTTCTGTAAGGATCAGCAATATTATAAGGGCCATATACACATGGTGCGAATTCCTTTCTTCAACATGATACAGAATCTCAAGAATTGGTAAAACCTAAAGAATAATAAGTTTAATTTACTACCAAAATTACTTTATTGTAATACCAATGCTTTATAAACCTTTATACTTTTATTTTATACAGGTACTTTAATTTCAGAATTACATTTTCTTTAGAAGAAAAAAAAATCAAACTATGACTCTGAAACAAACAAAACTATAACTGAAAGTACTTTCCAATTGTACAGCTAAGATAGCAGTAAAGAAAAATCATCCTCCTCTCTTTGAAGGTCTGTCACAAGTAAAGGTTGGGTTTGTAGAGGCCATTTAGAGGCATGGCAGCCTCCAGCCCATCAGGTAGTTACACACATTAAGATATATTTTTAGAAACACTATAGTGTGTCAACATTTCTTAATAGTAAAGACTATAGAATAAATGAATTTTACACAAAATCAGATCAGCAAATTTCCTACTGATAACATTTTCCTAATCATAGCCTCAAAAAAGTATTTATTACAGGAGAAATTCCTTATTAAAAGAAAGAGAAATGCTATTTAAAAATACTGAGTAAATCAGGGCATGTATTTTCTATCTGGCAGTACTTCACTAAATGTAAGAAATCAAGAAATTTATACATCTTATCCTCTTTGTACAGTGTCAAGATTCCTTAAATCTTAGTTGAAATGATGGTCACACTATTTAAGAGGCAAAAAAAAGTTTTAGTGGGATATCACAGAGAAGTAAAGATAACACAAAGCCCTACTGAAGAAAAGAAAGTGTTTGTACCCTGTGAAGAGTGAAAGTACTAGCCCTGTCCTCCCCACTGCACCCTACAGCAAGGAGACTGGAAGAGTCCCCCCTGAAAAATTGATCACCCCAAAAGACATGGCCTACAGAGAGTAGAATCCCCAAAGAAATAGACTATACAGAGCAAGTTATAGCAAATAAGTCCTGCCCACACTGAGAACTTACAATCAACTCCTTAGTGTACTACTCCTAAATATGAACACAGATCACCAGACATTTGAGGAAAGCCTCCAATATGGAGTTAGACAGGAGTCCACAAAGAAAATGAAGATGGAAGGAGGAAAAAGTCTATGTGCTGGAAGTAGGGCTGGGAATGCAGAGGGAACACACACAATGTACAAGAAGGAGAGCTAATGACTTGTCTTCCATCTCAGGAAGATAACAGTGAATATTGAAATCTGAAAAATCAAGAAAGCAGTATAAGCATGTTCTTGAGAAACATGGACAAAGCTGCAAGCATTTGTCTTTGGGGTGGGGGTATTAGGTATAGGGTAGACATGGGGTCTGCTAATCTGCATTAAATCCTAGTACTTCTATATAAGTTTTAAAACTATGTACATGTATTACTTTGACACAAAGAATAATAACAAAGAGAAAGATAAAATCAGGTTGGGAATGGAACTCAACAAAAGGACTATAGAAATATAAAACCATCAATTTCTCAGTCTTCTTCTCTTTGTCCCCTGTTCTTTCACTCATTCTACATTGAGAGAGCAACCTATTTGATGATTTCTATTACAACTAAAAAGTGGAAATGAAATGGAGAGGGAAAACGAACTCAGTGGCAACAAAAATATTTGCCAATTACTAAAGGAACCATTTTAACAGAACTTTTAAGTAGCCAATACTCATTCAGAAAAAAGCACCACTTCATAAATCAGCAGAAAAACACACCATTTCCAAGTCAGGTTCTTGCAGAAACATCTACCAGAAGGAAAAGAAGAAAGAAATGCTAAGGCTACAGTTAATCCTCAGGAGGGACATGTCTATTGTGTAATTCGGAAACTCTAACCCAAGTAGTGGTGACTTACCACTTCGTGAATGGATCTATTGAAGCCATCATCTTCTGTAAGGATCAGCAATATTATAAGGGCCATATACACATGGTGCGAATTCCTTTCTTCAACATGATACAGAATCTCAAGAATTGGTAAAACCTAAAGAATAATAAGTTTAATTTACTACCAAAATTACTTTATTGTAATACCAATGCTTTATAAACCTTTATACTTTTATTTTATACAGGTACTTTAATTTCAGAATTACATTTTCTTTAGAAGAAAAAAAAATCAAACTATGACTCTGAAACAAACAAAACTATAACTGAAAGTACTTTCCAATTGTACAGCTAAGATAGCAGTAAAGAAAAATCATCCTCCTCTCTTTGAAGGTCTGTCACAAGTAAAGGTTGGGTTTGTAGAGGCCATTTAGAGGCATGGCAGCCTCCAGCCCATCAGGTAGTTACACACATTAAGATATATTTTTAGAAACACTATAGTGTGTCAACATTTCTTAATAGTAAAGACTATAGAATAAATGAATTTTACACAAAATCAGATCAGCAAATTTCCTACTGATAACATTTTCCTAATCATAGCCTCAAAAAAGTATTTATTACAGGAGAAAAGCAGAAGGACAGTTAAGGACATAAGTTAAGACATCAAAGCAAGCTGTGCAAGATACTAAAAATGAAGACACAACCCCTCCACTCAATCCCCTTCACTAAAAAAAATCCAAAACAAAATCTTTTAACTTTTCACCCGTGTATGTCAGCCTTGTATGTATCAACATTCTTACCATGGAACTTTCTACAACAGGCAACGTCATGAGCTTTCTGCTTATTGTGATCATTTCCCTTAGAATACATCATGCTCAGAACTGCCTCTGCTTATGCTCAGTCACCCATCAGTAAATAAGCCTTCTCTTCACAAATTTTTACTCTACAAGCTGTAAACCACTACACCCAATTTTACTATGTAAGCCAATGTTTTCCACATAGAGCTGGTGTGCAGTCAGGTTTTTTCATCACATTTTTTGTCCTTAGTGCCACTTTGACATAGAATATGCTCTTCAAATAAATTCTAGTATTCCATGTTTACTAGTGTTTTAACACTGAAGAAATAGCCACCAAATTTCTGGAGAATCCTGCTATCAAACTGTAAAAACTGGAGCACAGGGGACATTTTCTCAGTAGCATTCTCAAAGCTGCTGGCTATTTCAGGGATGTTCACAATTTTCATGAATAGCCCAATGTTATCTATACATATGTATTTCAAATTATAATATTAACACGTTGGTGAGGTAGCTTTCCACTCACAGAAACATTTTTGTTCACACATTAGTAATAATGGAAATCAGTGATTGCCTATAGGAGTTTTTGTCAATGTGCAAAACATTGGAACCAATTTCATTCTCATAGTGAAGGAAGCAGTTAAGTGATACCTGGCAAACATACTTGAAGTAACATCCCAGGAACTAAGTTCAGGGAGCCCTGAAGTCTAAGCCTGTTGTAGGGACAGACACATGGAAAAGTAAGGTGAAAATCACCCTTCCTTTCAGCTGTTCCCATCAGAAAATGCTGCAACTGTGAGGAGTTCCCTGAACTGGGTGGGCAGGGACTTAGGAACAGGTAGAACCAAGAAGGAGTTAAAACCTTCTTAAGAATGGCAAACAGTGCTTCTTGGAGAAACTGATCAGGCTAAATCATGGGCAGTGGGTGGCTATTAAATAAAGCTCTAAAAGGCAGGGAGTTTGTTGTACTGCTGTGTTCTGCTCAGTGACACCATCTCCACATGCACTCTCTTCTACTCATAACTCCGCCTGTGCCTGGTGGCATCTCCTCGATCACCAGGTCATCATCAGCCTTGCAACCAGGCAAACATACATACCCTCCTGGGAAAACAAATTATTCTCCAAAACATAATGAAGTGCAAAAAGCACAAAACGTTTAGTACAATACTTACAAGATTTTCCATATCTGTGCGAGCCAACATGTACGTCCTAATATTACTGTTTTGATGGAGCAATGTATACAAGAGGAGGGTTGCTTGATCAGATGTTTGCTGCTCACAGAGGGCCGTGTACAAACTGTTAAAGTTAATCTGGAAGGCGTGTGGAATTGATGAGGGGAAAGGACTGCTATCTGGAATACAGAAAACACAAAATTTTTTAAAAATATTACATCGGTATTTTCTGGACTATGCCTTATTAAATAATAAACACACTGTTAATGTACACAATTCAATTCCCATTAATTTTGTATATGTTTCTGTATTTCAGATTCAAATTTTTAATTTATATTTTAAATGTTATCTAAAAAAGAACTCATGTAAAACACAGTGGCTATAATTGGTAACACTGTATAACTGGATTTGCTAAGAGAATAGACTTGAAATGTTCTCACCAAAAAAATGAAAAACAAACAAACTGGGATAATTTATTTCTCTATACTATGTACACCACACCCTTCCAATGATTACAAATATATGTGCAAATACTACTTCACAGTGACTTTTTAATCTTAAAAAAGGGGCCAAATATTTCATAAACTAAGACAGTTTTACTTCATTTTTTTGCATTAATATAGCTATATATTACATACTATTAAATCAGCTATAAAAACCTGCAATTAAATAAACAGAGCTATGGGACTAGGTAAGAGACCCTCTAGTGATACAATTTAACTATGTCATTGAGATTTTTGTCACTAAAACTAAATGAACACCAGTCTGAAATAAAATATATAGAGAAAGGATACAAAAGCTTCTACATAAAACAGAAAATCCTTTCATAAGATAGTTAAAAAGAAAAAACTGCCTTGAAGCCAAGTTAATTTTTTTCAAATGAATAACCATTGCTGAAGTATTAATGAATGTCATTAACCCATTTATGAAGAATGTAGCTAGGATAAAAACATATAACTTAGCTAGTTTTAAAAATCAAAAACATAATTTAGCTAGTTTTAAAATATCAAAATCAGTATGTTCAATGAGATTCTATAATGGACAGAATGTATCAAACATAAGAAAACAGTTAGAAAACATCTATAACTTTTTTTTGTTTAAAGGAAAACCTAAAACTAAGTTAAGAACAATTAAGAAACTTTTTGTTTTGTTAGGTAGAGTCACTGGATTGATAAAAAAGCATAAATTCCATATTGTAAAAATTCTTGATATTCTAAAACTGACAGAGCCCCCTTCCTACGGTTAGCTGGATTTGCTTAGAAACTGAATCAAGCAAGGTTATAAAGTCAAAAAGGAGGAAAAGACAGGTCAACTGATTTAGAGAAAATTATAATCTCCTCAGATAAGAAACTGCAACATGACAGCTGTGTTCAGATAATTAAGCACTGAGAATTTTTAGAAAGATACAGAGCCACAAGCAAAACACACACACACACACCAGAAATTTTTAAATGTTGCTTTAACATTCCCAAAAGTTCCAAAAGTTCTCTTATGAAAAAGAAATGTATGATAACAATCCTTATAGCAGACCTCAGATTCTCCTTTTTCATCTTTAATTTTATGAGAAAAGTGATCTAAAAAAATGCCTTGAGATTGATAGGATTAAAGATGGCAGCGTGAGAGGTGAGACAGGCTTCCTCCTAAAACCACATATAATACAAAAATATAATTAATACAACTAATCCTGAAAGAGCAACAGGAAAGAGGACTGTGCCAAACTGCATACACCTGGAGAAAAGAATAAACCTCACGGAACAGGGTAACGTACCAAAGCTGTGGCCTGGTGGGACCCAAGCCCTTCCCCCACCCCAGCTCACCAGCGGGAAGAAGCAAAACAGAGCAGGGCCAGAGTGGAGGCCTGGGACTGCTGAATACCTAACTCCAGAGATCTGCTCTGGAAGCACAAACCTACATTTCATGGTGCTTTCATGGTAATCTCATGATTAGGAGGTTGGAAAGCTAACACAGGCAGAATACCTAGAGAAACTGAGATTCCAGCTGCTTTTGGAATGCAGGGATCCATATCTGGCTGCTCTGGGACAAAAGAAAGGCAGGCAGTCTGAGAGGCTTCCTAACAAGGAAGCCCTTAGCAAGAGGGCTGCTAAAGAGGCAAGGATTGCACAGAGCTTCCTGCTCAGGAGAAAGGACAGGTAGACAAAATTGTCCAGGTGCACTCTGCCCAGCAGGATGGGAACTTTCACGATCTTGAGGTGCTCCAGCTCCCTGGCTGGCTACACAGCTCCAAGAAGCCCCTCCGTGAATATGCAGCCCACTGCACCTTTCTCCCAGCCAGCTACACCTGGCTCGCAAACCATCAAACCCTACCCTGGCGTTAGGCCAGCCAGAGGAAAGCCCCATCTACAGTAACTACAAACACAAAGCATAGAGGCTTATACCTTTGTGCTCAGCCCACTGGTTTGGGCACTGGAGACAGGCATAGCAGCTGGGAAGCAGGGAATAGCTCTTCCCTTCCCCCCAGGCACCAACACTGCTCCCCTGCGACCCCCGATATTGCTTCAGGGGCTGAGCACATCCAGAGAGTAGAGCTTCTGGGCACTAGAGGGCGCCATATACAAATATGAAACGCCAAAGGAATCTGGTTCAAAGTAAAATTATAAATACAACACCTGAGAAAGATTCAAATGAAATCGACCTCAGGTACCTTCTTGAAAGGGATTTCAAAATAAAAATCATGAACATGCTCATGGAGGTACAGAAAAACATTGAAGAACTCAGGAGTGAATTCTGGTCGGAGATCCAATCATTATGGAACACAGTATCAGAAATGAAACAAATGGAAAGTTTTAAAAGCAGATTAGATATGGTGGAGGAGACGATAAATGAAATAGAAATTAGAGAAGAGGAATACAAAGAAGCTGAGGCACAGAGAGAAAAAAGGATCTCTAAGAATGAAAGAATATTGAGAGAACCGTGTGACCAATCTAAATGGAAAAATATTTGCATTATAGGGGTACCAGAAGAAGAGAGAGAAAAGGGGAAATAAAGTGTCTTTGAGGAGGTAATTGCTGAAAACTTCCCCAATCTGGGGAAGGATATAGATATAGTCTCTCAGGCCATGGAGGCGCACAGATCTACCAGCACAAGGGACCCAAGGAAAACAACACAAAGACATATATTATTAAAGTGGCAAAGATCAATGATAAGGACAGACTATTAAAAGCAGTCAGAGAGAGAAATAAGATCACATACCAAGGAAAGCCCATCAGGCTATCATCACACTTCTCACAGAAACCTTACAGGTGAGAAGAGAGTGGCATGATGTATTTAATGCAATGAAGCAGAAGGGCCTTGAACCAAGAATACTTTATCTGGCAAGGTTATCATTTAAATTTGAAGGAGAGATTAAACCATTTCCAGATAAGCAAAAGCTGACAGAATTTACCTCCCACAAACTGTCTCTATAGTTTTTGGAGGGACTGCTATAGATGGAAGTGTTCCCAAGGTTTAATAGCTGTCACTAGAGGTAATAAAACCACAGTAAAGAAAGTAGAACAGTTGATAACTAAGCAAATGCAAAATTAAATTAACTATCCCCAAAGTCATTCAAGGGATAGACAAAGAGTACAGAATATGATACCTAATATATAAAGAATGGAGAAGGAAGAAAAAGGATGAGAAAAAAAGAACCTTTGGATTGTGTCTGTAATAGCATTTTAAGCAAGTTAAGTTAGACTCTTAGATAGTAAGGAAGTAAACCTTGAACACTGGTAACCATGAATCTTAAAGCCTGCAATGTCAATAAGCACATACCTATCCATAATCACACTAAATGCAAATGGTCTGGAGGCACCAATCAAAAGATATAGAGTCACTGCAATGGGGTATGTGGTGGGGACTTGATAATAGGGGGAGTCAGGTAACCATAATGCCATTCATGTAACTGTACATTAATGAGAGCAAAATAAAAATAAAATAAATAAATAAGGGGAAAAAAGACATGGAGTCACTGAATGGATAAAAAAACAAGACAGATATATATGCTGCCTACAAGAAACTCACTTTAAACACCAAGACATACATGGACTAAAAGTGATGGGATGGAAAAAGATATTTCATGCAAATAATAGGGAGAAAAAAGCAGGAGTGGCAGTACTTGTATGAGACAAAACAGACTTCAAAACAAAGAAAGTTCCAAGAGACAAACAAGGACATTACATAATGATAAAAGGGTCAATCCAACAAGAAGATATAAACATTATAAATATCTTTGTACTCAACACAGGAGCACCTACATATTTGAAACAAATACTAACAGAATTAAAAGGGGAAATAGAATGCAATGTATTCATTCTAGGAGATTTCTACACTCCACTCACTCCAAAGGACAGATCAACCAGACATAAAATAAGAAGACAGAGGCACTGAACAACACATTAGAACAGATGGACCTAACAGACATCTACAGAACTCTAACACCTGAAAGCAGCAGAATACACATTCTTCTCAAGTGCACATGGAACTTTTTCAAGAATAGATCATATACTAGGACACAAAAAGAACCTTGGTAAATTCAAAAAGATTGAAATTGTACCAACCAGCTCTCAGACCACAAAAGTTTGAAACTAGAAATAAACTATGCAAAGAAAATGAGAAATCCCACAAACACATGGAAGCTTCACAACATGCTCCTAAATAACCAATGGATCAATGGCCAAATAAAAACAGAGATCAAGCAATATATGGAGACAAATGACAACAATAATTCAAAACCACAGAAATCTGTGGGATGCAGCGAAGACTGTGCTGAGAGGAAAATTTATTGTAATACAGGCCTACCTCAGGAAAGATGAACAATCCCATATGAACAGTCTAAACTCACAATTAATGAAACTAGAAAAAGAAGAACAAATGAGGCCCAAAGTCAGTAGAAGGAGGGACATAATAAAGATTAGAATAGAAATAAATAATATCGAGAAGACTAAAACAATAGAATCAATGAAAGCAAGAGCTTTCAAGAAAATAAACAGAATAGATAAATGCCTAGCCAGACTTTTCAAGAAAAAAAGAGAGTCTATACACATATACAGAATCAGAAATGAGAAGGGAAAAATCATTACAGACACCACTGAAATACAAGAATTAATAGAGAATACTATGAAAAATTATATGCTAACCAATGGGATAATCTAGAAGAAATGGACAACTTTCTAGACAAATACAACCTTCCATGGCTGACCCAGAAAGAAACAGAAAATCTGAACAGATCAATTACCCACAACAAAATTGAACTGATAATCAAAAAACTACCTAAGAACAAAGACCTACCTAAGAACAAAACTCCTGGTCCTAATGGCTTCACAGCTGAATTTTATCAAACATTTAGTAAAGACCTAATACCCATCCTCCTTAGTTTTTCAAAGAGTAGAAGAAGACGGAATACTTCCAAACTCATTCTATGAAGCCAACATCACTCCAACACCAAAACCAGGCAAAGACACCACAAGAAAAGAAAATTACAGGTTAATATTCCTCATGAACATAGATTCAAAAATATTCAACAAAATGTTAGCAAACCGAATTCAAAAATACATCAAGAGGATCTTACACCATGACCAAGTGGGATTCGTCTCAGGGATGCAAGGATGGCACAACATTCGAAAATCCATCAACATCATCCACCACATCAACAAAAAGAAGGACAAAACCACACGATCATCTCCATAGATACTGAAAGAGCATTTCACAAAATTCAACACCCATTCATGCTAAAAACTCTCAACAACATGGGTATAGAGGGCAAGTACCTCAACATAATAAAGGCCATATATGACAAACACTGAAAGCTTTCCTTTAAGATCAAGAACAAGGCAAGGATGCCCACTCTCCCCACTTCTATTCAACATAGTACTGGAGATCCTAGCCACAGCCATCAGACAACACAAAGAATTAAAAGGCATCCAGACTGGTAAGGAAGAAGTTAAACTGTCACTGTTTGCAGATGACATGATATTGTACTTAAAAAACCCCAAAGAATCCACTCCAAAACAAGTAGATCTAATATGTGAATTCAGCAAAGTTGCAGGATACAAAATTAATATGCAGAAATCTGTAGCATTGCTACATACTACCAATGAACTAGCAGAAAGAGAAATCAGGAAAACAATTCCATTCACAATTGCATCCAAAAGAGTAAAATACCTAGGAATAAACCTAACCAAGGAAGTGAAAGACCTATATTCTGAAAAGTACAAGACACTCATGAGAGAAACTAAAGAAAATACCAATAAATGGAAACACATCCCATGCTCATGGATAGGAAGAATTAATATTGTCAAAATGGCCATCCTGCCTAAAGCAATCTACAGATTCAATGTAATTCCTATCAAAATACCAACAGCATTCTTCAAGTGAACTAGAGGAAATAGTTCTAAAATTCATATGGAACCACAAAAGACCCTGAATAGCCAAAGCAATCCTGAGAAGGAAGAATAAAGCTGGGGGGATTATGCTCCCCAACTTCAAGCTCTCCTACAAAGCCACAGTAATCAAGTCACTTTGGTACTGGCACAAGAACAGAACCATAGACCAGTGCAACAGACTAGAGAGCCCTGATATAAACCCAACCAAATATGGTCAATTAATGTACAATAAAGGAGCCATGGACAAACAATGGGGAAATGACAGCCTCTTCAACAACTGGTGTTGACAAAACTGGTCAGCTACATGCAAGAGAATAAAACTGGATTATTGATTAACCACATACAAAAAAGTAAACTTGAAATGGGTCAAAGACCTGAATGTAAAGCATGAAACCATAAGACACTTAGAAGACAATAAAGACAAAAATATCCTGAATATAAGCATGAGCAACTTCTTCCTGAATGCATCTCCTCGAGCAATTGAAACAAAAGCAAAAATGAACACATGGGAGTACATCAAGTCAAAAAGTTTCTGTACGGCAAAGGACACCATCAGTATAACAAAAAGGCTTCCTACAGTATGGGAGAATGTATTTGTACATGACATATATGACAAAGAGTTAACATCCAAAATATATAAAGAACTCACATGACTCAACATCCAAAAAGCAAATAACCCAATTAAAAAATGGGTAGAGGATATGAAAAGACAATTCCCCAAAGAAGAAATTCAGATGGCCAACAAGCACATGAAAAGATGCTCCACATCACTAATCATGAGGGAAATGCAAATTAAAACCACAAAATCACCTCACACCAGTCAGGATGACCAGCATTGAAAAGACTAAGAGCAACAAATGCTGGCGAGGATGCGGAGAAAGGGGAATCCTCCTACACTGCTGGTGGGAATGTAAGCTAGTTCAATCATTGTGGAAAGCAGTATGGAGGTTCCTCAAAAACTAAAAATAGAAATACCATTTGACCTGGGAATCCCACTTCTTGGAATTTACCCAAAGAATACAACTTCTCAGATTCAAAAAGACATATGCACCCCTATGTTTATCACAGCACTATTTACGATAGCCAAGATATGGAAGCAACCTAAGTGTCCATCAGTAGATGAATGGATAAAGAAGATGTGGTACATATACACAATGGAATACTATTTGGCCATAACAAAGAAACGGATGGAGCTGTTCAGTGAAATAAGCCAGGCAGAGAAAGACAAGTACCAAATGATTTCCCTCATTTGTGGAGTATAACAATGAAGCAAAACTGAAGGAACAAAGTAGCAGCAGACTTACAGACTCCAAGAAGGGACTAGTGGTTACCAAAAGGGAGGGGTGGGGGAGGACAGGTGGGGAGGGAGAGAGAAGGGGATTGAGGGGTATTATGTTTAGGACACATGGTATGGGGGATCACGGGGAGAACAGTGTAGCACAGAGAAGGCAAATAGTGACTCTGTGGCATCTTAACACACTGATGGACAGTGACTGCATTGGGGTATTGGTGGAGACTTAATAATATGGGTAAATGTAGTAACCACATTATTTTTTTATGTGAAACCTTCATAAGAGTGTATATCAATAATACCTTAAATTAAAAAAAATTTTTTAATGTCTTCAATTTTACTACAAAGTGCCCTAACCTTTCCCTCCACATTTTGAATATAGGTTATTTTTTCAACCCAGCACTGTATTCTGACACTTACAAAAAGAATTGTTTTGTGTCACTGACTTATTTTTGCAAGGGACGGCAAAAGAAGGGCAGCACATTACTGCAAGTATGCAAATGTCACAGAATCTACTGAAGACTCAGTGGAGGAAGATTCTGGACATGCTCTACCTCTTTACAATGGAAGCAAAGTAACCAGTTTGCCAACCTGTATTATCCCTGACTGCAAACAGGATATGTGTGTTGCACATGTGTCATGCGTAACTACACCACATATACCTTACTAGCTAATAAGTGCTAGGAACCAGCCACTGCACTAATAGCTTTACTAATATGATCCCTTATTTAACCCATGCAACAGCCATCTCATTATTCTGACCAGTTTCACAAAGGATGAAATTGAAGCTTAGAGAGATTAAGTAACTTTTCCAAGATTAGCCCTGAGTAAAGTACAACCAGCCTCTGTTGTTAGCACTATATTATATTGCTTGCTATAACAGCAATAATTTAGAGAGTCCATACTATGTAAAGTGCTCATTTAATTATTGTAAGAACCTTGTGAAGTAGAGATTATAACCCCTGTTTTACAGATACAGACACTGGTATATCTAAAGAATAAAAACTGGGATCTGAACTGTCAGTTTAACCCTAAAGTCAATGTCAGAATCACTGTACCAAATGATCGCCAAAAGATGACTATCCCAAGGAGGTCAACCCTAAATAGTAACATTTGGCCTGCACAGCAAAAGTAATGATATAAATACCACATACTGAATGCCACTTACGTGGCAAAATCTAAGCCAATCATTTAAAAACCTTACCCTGCTTGGTACTCATGCAAATACTATTAGGTGATATTATCTTGATTCTATAAACAAAGCCATTGAGATTTATTCAGACTAAGCAAACTGTGAATGGCCTCACAGCTCTGAAGTGACAGAAGTGTGGCATGAACTGTGCTTGACTCCAAAACTTGCTTTCTTAACCTTAAGCCACACTGTCACCAAGAAGAGTATACCGATGGGAAGAGAAAAGTACTTTTAGATATATGAGTTTTCATCTTTTATCTATCAAACTCTTAGAGCCTCCTTATTCCCCTACAAATTATGGTATCATAATTGTGAAAGGTACAACTAACTGGCACTTATCCACTGTCTATAAGAGACATACACTAGCACAGCTCTGGGAAGGAACAAGGCAAAGAGCATCAGAAGCCTTAAAAATGTTCCTATGCAATAACTGTACTTCTTACCTATCTTAATTATATTCATATTGGATACGTCTTGCAAATCTATCATATTAATCACATTGATTAACAGTGTAATCTTTTGATTAAAGATTACTGTTTCAACATGGACTATCTTTTCCTGCTCTTATGTACTTCAAGGCTTGACAAATTATAGCCCACAGATAGCCCACCACCTGTTTTGGAAATAATATTTTATTGGAACCCAGCCGTGCTCACTTGCTCATGTATTATCTATGCCTGCTTTTGTGCTAGAACAGGAGACTTAAGAGGTGGTGACAGAAACGACATGACTCTTATAACCATCTGCCCCTTTGCAACAAAAAAGGTTTGCTGCATTCTGTTCTAAGTGGAACATAGACTTTACATGAAAAATTTCAAAAAAAACCTTTCATTTGGAGTTTTCCAGGTTAATTCCTATCCCTAACAAATAGGACAGGCAGATCCAAATTAAGCACATGCTGGCTTGGTTACCAACAAAAGAAATGTAAATTTCAATGGACTGAAGGAATGATAGCCCTCATCTAAAATTTATTTGACTTTCCTGAGAATACAAACAGAAAAATCTTAGTTTTTTCTCCTCTTTAACCAGTATGAACATACAGAAATTGAGAGTCATCTACACAACTATAAGACAATAAACAGTATGGGCAACAATATCCTCTTTCCTCATTAGAGAGAATATACAGGGAAAAAAAATATCACAAACCTTGTGTATTCTTGAAGGACATAATGGCCTGTCTGTAGGGGTTGGGAGCATCTGCGGCATCTGTCAGGTTGGCCAGCACCAGCAGAAGCAGAAGACTCTGGTTGGCCAGAGGGGAAGAAAGTTCTGGAGTGGCGGTTGCTTTGCTGCCCACACCACCCAGGGTGAAGACAGTCCAGAGTCCAGCTTGAGAGGAGAACAAACACACAGTTAAGATATTGCTGGGACTGGTAAAATAAATACACTTCTGTACTATATTCTATACTTTCTCATATTTAAAAGTTTGAAATAATACCTTTGTGATTATGAAAGTAAAACAAGTTCAGTATTTGAAAATTATCATACTGCCCACAGATATAAAATTTTAAAAGATTATCATTCCTCATTCCCATAATTCCATTTCTTCATACAATAGATAATCATTATTAAATTTCTTATATATATAATTTTTTTACAGATAAAAACATAAATAATTATAAGAAAACTTCCTGTACAAGTATATATCAATATAATTGAAAACCTAAGCAAAATATTAAAGTAAAATATCTAGGAAAATACAAAATATCAAAGATTGCCAAAGACAACAAAAACCTGAATGGGCAAATAACCTTAGAAAAGTGGAAAACAGAGCCAAAGAGCTAAACCAAAAATACAAACCAAGTCCAGATTGTAAGATTTACCAAACCCTCCAAGTACAGATAATTCTCATATTATAAAGCAGTCTCAAAGTATAAAATAAAAATCATATCTACACAACTCATTTGAAAAGTTGAGAAAAACTTCCTTGATAAAGTGGACAAAAGATAGAAATAAATTAGATATTTTTAGATAGCCTAAATCAAACACAAAAGCAGATTAAATCTTGTAGAAAATTGTTAAAATAAATGTATCATGATCAAGAAGGTTTTGTCTTTGAAATGCAAGAATTATTTCCATTTAAAAATCTGCTAGCTTACTTCTCCTTATTTATGAAAGATGGAGGAAAAGAAAATATGGTCATCTCAATAGATGCCAGTATTTTTTTTTGGTATCATTAATCTACAGTTACATGGGCAACATTATGGTTACTAGACTCCCCCCATCAGATGCCAATATTTTTTATTAGTAGATTTAAGACCTGTTCTTAATTTTAAGAAAAAGAATTCTTATAAACTGGAAAAGGAGAGAAACCTCCCTGGTTTCTAAACTCTATAATCAGAAATCTGCATTGGTCAAACAGTAGAAGAATTCCCATTAATATCACCAGCATCAGCCTTTAACTACTGGTCCTCCAAGCAAAAACATTAAGGCAAGGGAGAAAAAAAAAAAAAAAAGGAAAAAAACTTCTTTATTTGCAAGCAATATGACTGTGCACTGTCTAATATAGTAGCCACTAGCTACTGACCACTCTTGGACAACTGAAATGTGACTAGTCCAAATTGTACTGTAAATTCTGAAGTCTTAATACAAGAAAAAAAGTAAAAATCTCTAACTTTTAAAATATTGATTGCATTATTAAAATTACATGATAAAATTACAATATTTTGATATACTACATTAAGCTTAAACTTCACCTGTTTCTTTTTTTTCTTTTGAGAGGGCATCTCTCATATTTATTGATCAAATGGTTGTTAACAACAATAAAATTCTGTATAGGGGGGTCAATGCTCAATGCACAATCATTAATCCATCTCAAGCCTAATTCTCGTCAGTCTCCAATCTTCTGAAGCATAACGAACATGTTCTTACATGTTCACCTGTTTCTTTTTACTTTATTAAATGCCCACTAGAAAATTTTAAATTACATATATGGACTCAATCTATGGCTCACATTATATTTCCACTGGACACAGCTGCTCTAGAACATCAAGAGAAGCGATGACACACTATTAGAACTAATACATTTCAGTATATTTCCACAGCTAAAAGGACTTATCATGTAAAAAAATCAGAAGCCTGCCTATACATCCACCATAACTAATTAGAAAGTCCAGTTAGAATAGCAACAAATCCAATAAAATATTCAGGTATAAATACAAGTGGAATGTGTAATGCCTTTAAGCAGATAACCACAGAACTTGAGACTGAAGGCCATATGAGATCTCAATTAATACACAGACAAAATATTTCTAGATAAAAAGACTCAATTTTGCAGATCTGCAACCCTAAAATTAACCTAAAATTCTGTATAAACACTATCAAAAAACTGAGAGGAATTTATGTAATATTTTCTAATACAGTATTAATAGAATATTGCTGCATGTAAAAATATGTAAGAAAATCAATATCATACTTAACAGCAAAAAGCTGAAAGCTTTTCCCCTAGGATTGAAAAAGACATGGATGCCCACTCCTACCACTTTTACTCAACATACTTCTGGAGGTCCTAGCCACAGCAATCAGGCAACGCAAAGAAATAAAAGGTATCCAAATTGGTAAGGAAAAAGTTAAACTGGCACTGTTTGCAGATGACATTATATTGTACATAAGAAACCCTAAAGAATCCACCCCCAAACTACTAGAACTGATAAGTGAATTCAGCAAACTTGCAGGATACAAAATTAATACACAGAAATCTGTTGCATTCCTATACACCAACAATGAACTATCAGAAAGAAAAATCAGGAAAACAATTCCATTCACAATTGCATAAAAAATAAAATACCTAGGAATAAAACTAACCAAGGAGGTGAAAGACCTATACCCTGAAAACTACAATACACTCATGAGAGAAATTAAAGAAGACATTAATAAATGGAAATACACCCCATGCTTATGGATAGGAAGAATTAATATTGTCAAAATAGCCACCCTGCCTAAAGCAATCAACAGATTCAATGCAATCCCTATCAAAATACCAACAACATTCTTCAACAAACTAGAACAAATAGTTCTAAAATTCATTATGGAATCACAAAAGACCCCAAATAGCCAAAGCAATCCTGAGAAGGAAGAACAAAGCTGAGGGGATTATGCTCCCTGACTTCAAGCTCTACTACAAAGCCATAATAATCAAAAACAATTTGGTACTGACACAAGAACAGAACCATACATCAATGGAACAGAACAGAGAGCCCAGATATAAACCCAAACATATATGGCCAACTGATATACGATAAAGGAGCCATGGACATACAATGGGGAAACAACAGCCTCTTCAACACCTGATGTTGGCAAAACTGGACAGCTACATGTAAGAGAGTGAAACTGGATTATTGTCTAACTCCATACACAAAAGTAAACTCGAAATGGATCAAAGACCCGAATGTACGTCATGAAACCATAAAACTCAGAGAAAATATTGGCAAAAATCTCTTGAATATAAACATGAGCAACTTTTTCCTGAATGCATCTCCTCAGACCAGGGAAACAAAAGCAAAAATGAACAAATGGGACTACATCAAACTAAAAAACTTCTGTACAGCAAAGGACACCATCAGTAGAACAAAAAGGCATCCTACAGTATAGGAGAATATATTCATAACCATCTTATCCGATTAGAGGTTAACATACAAAATATATAAAGAGCTCACATGCCTCAACACCCAAAAAACAAATAACCCAATTAAAATACGGGCAGAGGATACGAACAGACACTTCTCCAAAGAAGAAATTCGAAAGGCCAACAGGCACATGAAAAGATGCTGCACATCACTAATCATCAGGGAAATGCAAATTAAAAGCACAATGGGATATCACCTCACACCAGTTAGGATGGCCAACATCCAAAAGACAAGAAACAACAAATGATGGCAAGGATACAGAGAAAGGGGAACCCTCCTACACTGCTGGTAGGAATGTAAATTGTTCAACCATTGTGGAAAGCAATATGGAGGTTCCTCAAAAAACTAAAAATAGAAATACCATTTGACCCAGGAATTCTACTCCTAGGAATTTACCCAAAGAAAACAAGATCCCTGATTCAAAAAGACTTCCATATCCTTATGTTTATTGCAGCACTATTTACAATAGCCAACATATGGAAGTAACCACTAAAGTGTCCATCAGTAGATGAATGGATAAAAAAGATGTGGTACATATACACAATGAAATATTATTCAGTCATAAAAAGAAAACAAATCCTACTATTTGCAACAACATGGAAGAAACTAGAGAGTATCATGCTCAGTGAAATAAGCCAGGTGGAGAAAGATAAGTACCAAATGATTTCACTCATTTGTGGAGTATAACAACAAAGCAAAACAGAAGGAACAAAACAGCAGCAGACTCACAGACTCCAAGAATGGACTAGCAGTTACCAAAGGCAAGTCGCTGGGGAGAGTGGATGGGGAGGGAGGGAGAAGGGGATTAAGGGGTATTATAATTAGGACTCACAGTATAGGTAGGTCATGGGGAAGGCAGTACAGCATGAAGAAGACAAGCAGTGACTATAGCATCTTACTATGCTGATAGACAGTGACTGCAATGGAAGTGGGGGCACTTGATAATATGGGTGAATGCTGCAACCACAATGTTGCTCATGTGAAATTTTCATAAGATTGCATACCAATGATACCTTAATTGAAAAAAAAAAATACCTAAGAAAAAATTATTGAGAAGGACTGACCTGAGAAAGAATGCTTTGATCCAATAGCAAAAATTTTTATAAAGCTATAGTCATTTAAAAGTGTAATACTGGAAGAAGACGAATAGTTCAATAGAACATAAATGAGTTCAGAAATAGAACCACATGTACTTGAGAGTTAACTTCATGCTACAGTAGTATTCTAAATCAGTAAGAAAAAGATAAAGTTCTATGTCTTTTGGACAACAGAATTTAATCATTTCTACAAGTATGTGTATAAACCTTGAGTTGAGAAAGTCTTTTTCTCATGCCAAGAAACAAAATTCACAAAGACACAAAAATTAGTAATTTGACTAAATACTTTTATGTGATGAAATATATCACAAATAAGACAAGAGAGGTGAAAACATATGCAACCCTAAGACCAAAAAAGGCATTTATTTTTTAAAGATACCCCCTCAAATCAGTAAGAAAAAGCCAACAATTCAAAATAAAAATGGGCAGTAAAAGTCTGAAGCAATAAAAAGAGAAAACTAATTAACACGATAATGAAATCATCCATAAAAAGAAATTCTTTTAAGATTTATAACACTCAGTATTGGGAAAGGTATAGAAAATTACCAACAGTGAGAGATCAAAGTGGTAGCAGATTTTTGTAAGATATTTGGCAGTTCTCACTGAA